CCTTCGGTATTTCAAATCAAGGTTTCTCTGTGTAGCCCTGTCTGTGCTGGAACTCACTCTGTAGAGCAGACTTGACTTCCAACTCAGAGGTCCGCCTGCCTCTGCCTCCTGAATGCTGCAATTAAAGGCATGTTCTACCACCACTCAACCCTCTTTCCTTAAATTAAGAAGCAAAGCAGTATATGGAAAATGGTTCCGAGGGTAAAATGCTCCTTTCCATGCAAAGAGGAAGACCTGAGTTCATATCTCCAGAGCCTACATAAAGCCAGGCACAGCAGCACACATCTGGAATCCCAGCATTCTCACTTGAGACAGGAGTCAGGGATAGGACAGACCTGGAAGCTCACAGGCCAGCTAGCCTGGCACACACAGCGAAGGGGCAAACAAGACAAGGTGGGAGTTGAGGACCAATAACTGAGGCTACTTCTGACTGTCACACATGTGCCATGGCATGCATGGGTGCCCCCTCCTCCATATACACATATATGATCCATACATACAAACAATAAAATTAAGAAGCAGAGAAGAATTGAGGAAAGGAGAAGATGGGGGCAGCTCTCATTCAAATTAATTTTCATGGTGAGGTGGGCGTACTTTTTAAGAGCATGAGCGTGTGTGTGTGTGTGTGTGTGTGTGTGTGTGTGTGTGTGTGTGTCTGCACCCTCGAGTGTGCTAACAAAAGCTCCAGTTCAAGGTTACCTGAGGGGAAGAGTTGGGGTCAAAACTGGGGTGGAAGGGTCCTCAATGTGCTTTCACTGTTGGTGGCCTAGAGTGACAAACACATCAGAGATTCAGAAAGGAAAAAGGGAAAGGACAAAGGATTTGGGTGAGTGGCAAAATCACAGCATTCAGGTACACTACAACACAGAAACGGGGGGGGGGGGGTGTTGGTGGGTTTTGATCAGTAGTTTGTTATTTTGTTTTTTGAGACAGGGTTTCTCTATGTATCGCGGCTGTCCTGGAGCTCACACTGTAGACCAGGCTTGTCTCCGTGTGCTGGGATTAAAGCTGTGCTCCAGCACCACTGCTCAGCTCAGCAGTTTGTTCTTTTGAGTTTGTCTGTTTGTTTTGTGGTACTGGGGAATCAAACCTTAGACTCAACCACTGAGCTAATCCCAAGGCCAAAAGATAGACCTGAGCGAGCAGCAGTGAAGGGAGGGTTTTCTGCTTTCTCTCTTTTCCAGATCTTCTGTGAGGTGATGCTAACTTTGTGTTTTTGATTGGTATGAAAGAACAGGGCAACAGCCTGAATAACTGAACTGTGAGCGGCAAGAGACAGGAGACAGGCTCTTCCCGCAGGGGCTCTTCCAAAGGAAACTAAAGAGTGGGGATATAGGTAATGAATGGGAGGGCACACAGCTGAAGCCATGCGTGCTACCAGGAGCTGCAGGAGGCTCAAGATATGCAGGGGAGGTCAGTGTAGCTGTGTGTGTGTCTGTGTGTGTGTATGAGAGAGAGAGAGAGAGAGAGACAGACAGACAGACAGACAGACAGACAGACAAGCAGACAGATCTTTGCAAAGCTGAGTCTTTGCACCTCAGGGAGAGTCGGCCTGGCCCGGCAGTTTCTCTGCTCCATTTACAGCAGCTGTACAGTGTATGTAGGATGTACTGAGCACCATTTTGAAAGCCAGACACCACTGCTCTCCCTACAGCGACCATTCTCCCTCACAAAGCAGAGAGGGAGGCACGAGCCAAGGATACAGAGAAACTAGTCAGAGCAGCTTTGGCTCCGATGGGACCAACGTGCTCAGACCACAGTGTGGTGGGGAAATCCTCTCTATTCTCTTTACTCTCTGTGGCCAACTGCCCTCAGTCTCCGGAGCCTCCGCGGGAGGCTCCATCTACCTCAGTAGGAGAATGAGATGCTCTCCAGGCTCTGGCCCAGGTGAGAGGAATAGGTTAAAGCTTCATTATATAAACCCAGTGAAAAAAAAAAAATGGGATCCACTTTTGCATGGAACTTGTCGGGTGACCTGCCCCCCTTCCCAGAACAAAGTACTTTTCTCCTCCTTGGCTCTTACCAATCCACATCCATAGTATAATCAAGACCAGGCCGGGTGGCAGGTGGCGGTGGTGGCACACACCTTTAATCCCAGCCCTCAGGGCAGAGGCAGGCAGATCTTTGAGTTTGAGACCAGCCTGGTCTACAGAGTGAGTTCCAGGACAGCTTGGGCTACACAGAGAAACTCTGTCTCGAGAAAACAAACAAGAAAGACTACAGGAAGAAATCTGTGTCCCTTTGGAGAGCGATTTTAGAAAGTATCCGTGAACAGTGGTAGCGGCCTGCATGGGTCAGGAAACGGGAAAGAAAACAGTTCAGGCTGATTGTCGCGCCACAAGAGTACCGCCACCATTCGGGGGGCAAAGGTATGAAGAAGAGTTTAAGGGTAACTTGGGGTACACAGTGTGACCCTTGCCTCAAAAAAGAAGGAAGAGCAGGAGCTGTTTAGTGGCCGGTAGTTAGCAAGGTCAAGGTGATAATGAAGATCGAGAATACAGCCTGAGGACAAGACACAGTGCCTGAGTCACCAACGTGGGTGGTCAAAGGTCACCTTTATCTAAAGCTCTTCTACAGCTTTTGGTTCTGTTCCTCCTCATTGTCTATCAGTTTGTAAAATGCCTAGCGGCATCTTATAATATGCATTCCTCTGAAGGGGGACGACGCTCAGCACTGAGACAAGAGGCCAGGTGCCACCTTACCTTTCTCGACCCAGGTCACCCTGGACAAGTCACTGAGAAAATTAGGGGAAAGACCAATCCATAGGAAATCCTGTGTGCCATTACCACTCACATAGTTTGCCTTTTCTCTTTTCTAGATAGTCAGTCTCTCCCTGTGCATCCCTGCTGTCCTGGAACTCACTGCGTAATCCAGGTTGTCCTCAAACTTGCCTCCGGAATGCTTGCGTGTGCATGCGTGCGTGTGTGTGCGCGTGTGCTCACACACGCGCACACGCGCACACTCGCTCTGACCCTACTCCTGTCCCTGTTATCACTGACTTCTAGGGAGAGAATGGAAGAGCGAGCTCTACAGCCCCTTTCTTTCCACCAAGGCAAGACCACCCTAAAATGCAGACAAACAGGCGAGGTTCCCCTGGAACGCAGGTTCCCAGACAACTCCATATTCCAGGCTTTGCAGGGGCGGGGGCAGTTTCCACCCAGCACTAATGTGACTTCCCTGAGCTGTAGGCAACTACCCAGAGGAGCCCTTCATCACAATCTTTCTATGAATCATTCAGGGTAAAGTCCCTGCTCTGTTTGCATCTGGGGAAATAAAAACATTATTAAAGAGAATTGAGATTTCGTGGTGCAGCTGAAAATAGCACGCAGTTAAGGCTGGCTCCCCAGATCCTCCTTCTGTTCTAGCCAGCTCTTTCAACAGGAGCAGACCTGGAATACCCACACCCCAATTCTCAGACACCCTAAGTAAGTTACCACATTACTAGCTGTACTGTGGTGACCCAGGGCTGCTAATTCTGGCCCTTACTCATGTGCCTGTCCTAACTCCTTTTCTGCTGCAGGTGCCCCTGCAGTCACATGCTTCTCTCAAGTGATCTGCAGCTTCAGGCTGCTCCCTCTGCAGAAAAGATGTGTGTGTGATGGTGGTGGAGGGGGCAGAATAAAAGAGGTATATGGCTCTTCCATCCTCCCAGCAGGCAAATATACAAGTCTAGTCACCTTCCTTCAGCATCCCCACTGGTCAAGTCGCCTTTCCCCCACTTGGTCCACCCAAAAGAATTAATACTCGCTATGAGGACCTGCTGGTATCTCTACAGGGATCATAGTGGGGCTGAGTAATCAACTGGGCAGGGAAGGAGATGCATACAAAAGTTGAGTCTTTGTCTTCTAAATAGGGGGCCCACCAACTGCTGAGCCTTTCCAGCATGCTCTCAGCTTCCTCTGTGCCAACAAACTTTGTGACTCATGGTCTGTTTGCAGAGGCAGCCAGCAGTCTTAGAGATGGGTTAAATTGGGAACACGTTCTTCTAGATCACTCACCCCTCAGGTGCAGCCTGAGCCCTTACCCTGCAGTAGGAGAGGGAGTGAACATTGCTCTAATTCTTTTGTTGGCCCAAGAATAACTACTGGAAACCTGGGCTCTAATAGACTGTGTCCATAGGAACACACACACACACACACACACACACACACACACACACACACACACACACCAGGAAAGCTCTGCAAGGCAGCCCATTCCTCGCCTGGTCCAGATCGCCAGTGTTTCTACTCTTAGGAGCTGCAAAGTGGGACCCAAGGAGAGCTTTCCTCATCCACATTGCTTGCAGAACCAGCAGAGTCGTGCACCCTGAGAGTCTTGGAACTGTCACACATTTGTGGGGACGGTAGTTCTGGGACTGGGAGACACCCTCGAAGCTACATCTCTTCCCTCCGACCCTCCGCAAGGCCAATCTGGAAGTTGGGAAACCTGCATCCCACCAACAACCGGGTTAGGTAGAGGCCAAGTGCATCCAGCTCGGAGAGATGAGCCTCCAGCGCCGGCTTGCTCCCCAGCTCCTGTACCGCCGGTGCCACCTCTCACATCCAAAGAGCCGGGCATTAGGCCGGCAGCAAGCAGCTCCCCTCTACCCTGGACCAGTTTCGCGCATCAAACTCCCAAGCACAAGCCTCTTTGTTAATTCTGCAAATACTGTCACACGATCGCCTCCACCAACACTCCTTGTCGGCTCAGCTGATGAGACATTCGCTTTTTCCAAAGCTGGGTGCCTCTCCACCATCCGAGTCTCTACCCGGCTACAGACCACCGCCCTTTAGCGCCTGCACACGCCGACCCGAAAGACCTCAGGGGACCAGATAGATAGTCCCCCGACCCGAGGCATCTTTGTCCTCTCGGTACAGACGCGCGCTCACAGGGCGACAGAAACAGCCAGCCTGGTACCAAGTCGGCGCTCTCGCTTTTGGCCAGGGGCCACTCCGGGGGACAAAGGTCCGCGTCCTGGAAGTTTGCGGGCCCGAGCCGGGGCGCCGAGTCCTCCTTACCGTACATCTCCGCGGGGAGCGCGCCTCCCGGGAGGCCGGCGTCGTCGCGTCGCTGGCAGTTAGTCCACGGCCGCGCCTGCTTTTCATTCACAGCCCGGCGGGCTCACGCGGCTGCGGGCGGAGACCCGGGCGCGTCGGGAGCAGCC